AATTATCGAAAATTCCAAAGGCCTTTTGTTTACGTGGGTTGTACCTATCAATGTTACCATATTAGAAATTACAAGTAGGAAAGTTTACCAATATTTATTCATTGAAAAAATAATAAACTTACCACATATTAACATATATAACATTTTCCATGAGAAGTAATGGTTTCCCAAAACAAAAAAATAGAGTAAGAAGAGTGGCATTGTTATTTATTTTTTTTGTAAATCTTTTTAATGTCTCTTTAGAAGACAATTGGACTCTCCTCTCTGCTTCTGCATTTCAATGTATTATGATACGTTGTTTTACGTTCAAGTCCAGGGTCACAGATAAATAGTTGAAATGTGATGACTTTGTGTGCCCGACGGGACCCCCATGAAAGAACCCCCAGGGTTCCACCCAGTACTTTGAAAACCTCTGATAGAGGTAGAGCAATGGGGAGGCCAGTCCTCTGCACTTGACATTTTGGTTGAATGAACACAAATTAAAATTTCTTTGAGGGTTTGCTGTCCCTTGTGGCGGTGGTGACATTGGTGACATGGTAGTGTAAACCAGTTAGACAACACTGTCCTTAGGGTCCCATTGACCAGTGGGACGTAAACTTTGTGATATTTACCCAGCAGCGCTGATGACCTTTCTCCCCCTGTGTTCATAGTGAGGTAGGCTCTCTCTCACAGACTTTTGTAGGACCACCAAAAGAAAGACGCTCATACTCTCTTGAAAAAAACGAACCCTCCGGTTTCTTTAGCAGTGTGTTCATACTGACCTAAAGAGCGACTTCAAACTAGACCCTTAATTGGTGGTTCTTGATGTGCATCTAGGCAGCATTTTAAAATTTGAGTGGAATTGCTGTGAAATAATTACTGTGCCATACAGTGAGGACTGGTTGACCACCACCGGTTATTCACCTTGCAAACATTTTGCAACAGGTGTTCAAGTTCAGGATGGTGTTCTGTCTGAATCAGAGAGGCCCTGAATGTCTTCTCACCATCAACTGGTACCTATTCTTATAGAGTACCAGCATTAGCCAAAACCTAAGTAATACTTGTAAGCTATTATGGGAAAGAAATTGGATGAATGATCTAGGAAGTATTTGCTCTTTTGGATTATCTGTGACCTGTTCTTTCCATCAGCAGCATAGATAATTAAATTCGGCATTAACTGAGCCCCATGACAAAGGACACTGTGCTGGAGACAGCCGTTAGTCAGCTTTAGATAGACATGACCATAGTGCTTCCAACCTGCAAATGGACAGAGATGAGACAGATTCTGGGGATAGAATAGTTTTTAGGTGGGGTTTTTAAAATATCTTACGCCAGGGGTGCCTCGGTGGTGCCGTCGGTTAGGCGTCTGACTCTTGGTTTCAGCTCAGGTCGTGAACTCAGGGTCATGAGATCGAGCCCCACATTGGGCTCCACACTCAGCACAGAGTCTGCTTGAGATTCTCTCTCCCTCTGCCCCTCCCACTCATGTTCGCACACACTCTTGCTCTCTCTCTAAAATAAATAAATCTTTAGAAAAATATCTTATGCCAAATGAAATGTGTTTTACTGCTTTGTCAGAGGCACATCTCACATCTGCCTTTCTAAATGCATTATGTCATTACCTAGCTTTGATTTTATGCAGTTGCTGTAATAATGATATGTACCATTTACTGAGCATCTACAATAGGTTAGGTGCTTTACAAAGTCCAGTTACTTGGAATAGCCTTTTTAGAGAGGTGTGTTTTGCCTGTTTTCTAAATAAGGAGACCGTCTCAGAGAGGCACGGGGTCCCGCAGCCTGTGGAGGCCTGTAGCAGCTCTGTTTGACTCCATCGTGTTTTTTCACTGGGACATGCACATTCTTGGCATGTGCGTGCATGCCTTCACATAAACTCACAGACGTAAAGATGTTCAAAGACTGAGTGAGAGAGGAAACAAATGAAAGGATAATTCAAAGATGCAAAACGTTTGACTTCTCTGTGATACCAGGGCGTGGGGCCTTTGCAGAAGAAATCCTGCATGGATGAAATAAGGTATTTCAAGTCATGGCCTTGAATGCTGGGGTTTTGACACAGTCACCTGCAAGTTGGGACATTGATGTCAATGGGACAAACCTCCCATTAATTAATAAGGTGAGACAGGTGGTTCAGTGATTTTCATGTGTGTGGTGAGGGTTGATTGTGTGTGTGTGTGTGTGTGTAAAGATTAGAAGTCTCACTGGTTAGGAAGAAGAAGAGGAAAAAAAAGAATATGAGGGTATGCCAGCTTGCTCCATTCAGCGCCCTGTGGTTTCATGCCGAATCACTGGGCAGACCAATATAGTACAGTCTTCAGTTTTCAGGACCATATGTACAATCCCCGTGCCTCCCTCTGCCTCCCCTTCTTTGCTCCTTGGTTGGTTAACCCTATTTCCTCTGCTGTAATGCTAGAAGACCTAGGTCATGAGGTTGCTATGAGGTCTTAGGATAACACATAGATTTGGCATGTAGAAAATGTGCGATAAATATCAACTACCATGATTCCTAATAATATTGCCAATACAGTATCTCTGCAAAGTAGGTGCTGGGTCTTTCTCCCATAGGAGAAGCTGCACATCCCAATTCGTGATTGAGGCTCCCAGAAATAAAACCCTAGAGGCTGCAAGCCCCCCGACAGGTGGGGTCAGAGGCAGGTTTCTGGACCTCCTGCAGAGGTGGACTTTCTCAGCCGTGGTTTCTCAGTCACCCCTCAGACAGTGGACACTTCGGGGCCCGGGAAATTTTTTTAGCCCGAAAACATATTGAGTGTTAGAACAGCCCTGGAATCTGGCTGCCTTTGTCAGTCTGTGATGACTCATGGGGCTGACTGGACGCACTGCTGTTTTGGGTGGCACAGGTGTATGGTTCACCCCCTGCAGCTCCCTGGCCTCCCCGCCATGCTCTCCAGCACCTGGCCTCTGAGCGAGGTCCATGGGGCACTCTGTCAGCTCGGGAGAAAGACAACCAAGAGCAGGGCTCAAGGTTTTCAGATATAATAGAATAGCCTTTTCCAAGACAGTTTGAAAGGGGATGTTATCAAAGTGAACCTTTTAAATTACACACTACATAGATCTGTAAGGACAGGTTTCTTGAAAAAGCTAGGTTTCAGAACGAGGTTCGGGGTTATTAATTCAGCAGCTATTTATTAATAAGCCCCTCCACATTCCAAGTACTGTATTCATCAGTGGGATACAAAGACTGGTCTGCCCGGTCCTTGTGGCTACCTCTCAGGGGCTCCTCCACACCCCTGAGAGCCCTCTGTTCCCATAGTTGGAGCATTTCACCCACCAGAGGCTCTGACTTTCTTCCCAGGTCTTAGTGGCAGGCTGGTCTCTCCTAATCTTATTTATTAGGCCAACCCCACGTCCCACATTCCAAGACCAGGAAGTGAATTCTTGCCTGGAGCTCTACCTGGTACCCCAGTCCCTTAAGACTGGCATCCCACCTTGTCTGCCCAGTTGTGCCCATATTGGAGTCACTTCTGGTGTCCAGACTGATAACACGGTCTGCACTACTTGATGCCAGTCCCTTCCATGCTGAACACTGGCCAGCCCAGTTCCTCTCCCTGTCCCTTATCCTCTTGCCATAGCACTCTGCCATCTGCTGGGGCTCTATTGGTTGCCTCCTAGTGAATTTGCTCCAAGCACCTGCCTCAGCCTCATGGGTCTGTCACGGGTCCTAAACCTCCTGCCACTGAAGAGGGCCTCCTCCCACCAACTTAGCAGAAGCTCAGAAGCCAGCCACAACCTCAGGCTGGGCACCGTGCTTTGAGCAGGGAGCAAGTGAGGGCTCCCAGGCTGGGCAGGAACGGGGCTCTGAATCAAGCTCCCCTCTAGCTGGTAGTGCCCTGACTTTACTGCTCAGGCTTTTTCTAAGGTTAATGCTCTGCGCCTCTGCCCAAACTGAAGTGTGGTAAAAGGCTGAGTGACTGTAACGGGTGGTACAGCCCCTTCCTCACAAGAATTCTCAGTGCCCCCAACTATCTGTGCAGTTACTGCTACTCCTGTCTGTGGGTGTGGCTTCCAACAGGTAGACTGGCTTGCATCACAATGTCTTAGTGGTACTGCAGTGAAATAAGAAAAGGAAAAATGCATCTGACATACTGCATGGGAGGGCCTTATCAGGATGCTCCGTTCATCTCGTCCAGCAGTCCATCTCCTTAATTTAAGAAATAGCAACGTGATTGCTGTTCTCCCATAGTTTCTAGATGTGTTTTTGTTTTCAGTAGGATTCAGGGAAGTCATTATTCCATGCCTTAACAAGAAGGCTTCAGACTAAAAATACTTCGATACATTGTTTTAAATGACATTAAAAAAAAAAAAAACTGAAGTCTTTTTTCCTTGGAGAATAAGCAGTTTCAGATCTAAGGCAGATGTTTCCCTAAGGATGGTTCTCACTCTATTGCATAGCTCACTGCTCATAAATAATGAGTTTGACAAATGTAGGATGCATCAGAGCATTTCAGAAGGAAGGCTTCTGGTGACAGTGTTATGCACATTGTAGTAGCTGAAGGGAGATTTTTTTTTTTAAACCAGAAATGACTACTGTTTTTTCCCCATGAAATGGATCAGAGTCATCAATGATTAGTAGATAAATAGATCTCATATAAATAAGTAAACAAATTTGATAAGAGAGCTATGGCCTCTTAACTGGCTCATGTCCAATAAAATAGGACAGTTATCCCATTGCTTTCAGCAAGGCTTGAAACTCACCAAAAAGGAGTAAAATTAACAAATAACTTTTTATTTTTTTTCCTATAGTAGTCTTTGATATTCTAGGAGATCTTACTACCCAGGGGGGCACAACACTCTTTAGCTCATTCTTCACATAGCAGAAAGATATTTTATTAAAAATCACCAATCAGGGGCCCTTGGGTGGCTCAGTCGTTAAGTGTCTGCCATCGGCTCAGGTCATGGTCCCAGAGTCCTGGGATCGAGTCCCACATCGGGCTCCCTGCTCGGCGGGAAGGCTGCTTCTCCCTCCCTCTCCCACTTCCCCTGCTTGTGTTCCATCTCTCGCTGTGTCTCTGTCAAGTAAATAAAATCTTAAAAAAAAAAAAAAAAAATCACAAATCAGATCATGTTCATTCTCTGCTTAAAAAGCTCCAGTATCTTCCCACTACAACCAGAAAAAAGTCCTAAATCCTTCCCTTGGTCTGCTGCATCCTTCACAAGCAGGCCCTTAGCTACTCAGACCTCTTCTTGCGTCATTTCCCCCTGCCCACCGGACTCCAGGTGTTCTTGGAGCTTCTCAACCCCACCCTCCACCCCTGCTAGTTCTTCCTCCCCACCTCCAAGCCTTTGCACTTTCTGTTCCTCATGTCCAGAACCCTCCGCCTGGATTTTTGTGTAGCTGGCTCCTTGTCATTCAGGTCTCAGCTCAGATTTCCCCTCCTTGGAGAGAACTTCTCTAAACATTTGACATAATATGACATAGATCCTTTCTGTTTGTCTCTAGTAGACCATCTTGTCCAATTTTCTTAATACTGTTTTCATTCTGAAATTATCTTACTCATTTATATTAGTTAACAGGAATAAGAGAACCAGTGGTTCCTTACTAAAAATCAAATGATAAATGAAAATCATCATCATGAATCTGAAAAATTACCTTGTTCAATGCACATGATTGCCTGAAAGAAGGTGTCTAATTCAACATGTATTTACTCGCTGCGTGCCCCGTAACTTCGGGAGGCCAGTCAGACAGTGAGCAAATATTTACCGAATATTTCACACGCACCAGAGAGGTGCTGGTGTGCTGAGCCCTGCAATACTATGGTAAACCAAACAAGCATTACCTTCTCCTCCCGGAACTTAAAATCAAATAGTGAGTGAGACTTTACAAAGGATGGAAGCCCTGTGAGCACAGGAATCCTGCCCAGTTGATGCTGCCGCCCCGGTGCCTAGAGCATCGTGCTCCGTGTAAGCTGACAAATGAACAAGTGAAAAAAATCATTACAAATGTGGGCAGTTTAGCAGAAGAAAATGCAGTGTGCCAAATACATGAAATACAAACGCATGCACAAATACACACATACACACACACACACACACACACAAAGTCTGTAAGGGGGGGGGAGCTCAGAAGTGATTTTTAAGGTGACACTGGATGGCGAGTGGGATTCAGCAAGGGTGAGAAGGCGGGGGAGGGAGGTGGTCTGGGCGGAAGGAGAGAGCCATGTGGAGGCTCCCAGCTGAGAAAAGTGTGGCATCTCCGAGGGATAAGAGGAGGCAGTTGTGAGTGCTGCATAGTGAGTGAGGCAGGAGTGACACGCGGGGGGGGGTTGCCAGGGGGTAGCGGGGCCTTGGAGGCCATGCACGAGAACACGGAGGTCCTGAGAACTCCGGCTTTATTCTGTGGTCGCAGGGAGCCTCTGATGGCAGAGAAGCCAATGTAAGACTTGAACGTTAAAAGGATTGCCCTGGCCACAAATCGGGGAGGGGCGAGGATGGGTGCACGGAGACCAGCTGGGAGCCACTGCAGTGATGCAGATAAGAGATGGTGTGACCCTAACTCAAGTGTGGAGAGAATTTGGTGGATTGGAGAGATTTAGCAGGGAGAATCAGTGATGGAATGTATGGGGATAGAGCAGGGAACAGGAGTAAAGGGTAACTCCTAGGTTTCTGGCTTGAGCATCTTGAGTAGAGCCACTTAGTGAGATTGAGAATCTCGGAGGAGGAATCTGGGGGGCTGGAAGTTTGGATGAGTTGATTTTGCGGTGCTCTGAGACATCCAAGTGAGAATATGCACCGGGCTAGTGGATATACAGGTCTGGGACTCGGAAAAGAGGTGGGCCATGCAAAGGGCATTGAAGCCATAGGTGTGGCTTCACTTAAGGAGGGAGTTTAAAGTATAAAGAGAAAAGGCCTAGGATAGAGCCCTAGGCACCCCAAAGTTAGTGGGGCAGCAGAGTCAGGGGTATGTTGGTAAAGGAGTTGGAGAAGTCAGAGTAAGGAAAACCAGGAGAGTGGTGTTACCAGAGCAGAGGGTAGGAGGGCTGCAAAGAGTAGCATGTTGAGAGGTTTAAGATGAGCACAGAAAAGACCCACATCACAGGTCCATAGAGGGAGAGGGGCAGGCAGCATTCCAAGAGAGGCGAGCACATTCTTAAAGCAGCCCCGTTCTCCTAAAGATATTCTGATCGACATCAGTGCCAAACAGAGCCTAGCCAGCTCCGCTTCCCAGTTCCAAAGCAGAGAACGTATGCCTGCAGAGGGAGGAGTGAGAGACAGGAAGCCGCCTTGCGTCTCCAGAGAGGGTGAATGAGCACTGTGCGTCTTGACTTCTCAGTTCCATTTCTCCCCTCGTGATGCTGCACTGCCCCTCCTGCCCTCATTCCCTTCCGCCAAATTGCCCGCTTCGCTATGCTCACTCAAGTGGTTTTCTCTTTTGTTCAGTGCAAAGGCCCTTGGGTAAGCCAGGAACTCTGACCCGCGGAGAAAAGGCTGCTTGCCCTCCGCAGGCTCCGTTAGAGGTCACCCTCTAATGGGTGATTGAGTAGCTGAGCAGGTTTACTGCCGTAGCCTGCAATTCCTAAACCGTAAATTACGAATCCCATGCACCTTCCCCATGCGCGGAAAGGCTTCATTCTCACCTATAAATCACAGGGATTCTAAAGTCCTTGACGATTCACAGCACAACCTCCCTCCGTTGTTTTGCTTGCAGGAATTTTTCAGACTTGATTAACTGGAAGGGTGGAGATGGGGCTTTGCAGCCTCATTTTTGGTATCCTTGGCAGGATGAAAAAGTGAGAGAAACACCTCTCTTTTTAAGGCAGAAGACACGAGATTGGTTTATCTCAGAGACTTTTTGGGTCTCTGATTTGTGTGACGGTAAGTGAGGTTTGTACCCCCATTTCCACTGAGCATCTGACAGCAATTTCACCTCCTTGTGGCTTCATTCATAGGAGCCTCTTAGTCTAAAATCATCTTCCTACTCAAGGTGGGCGAAGGTAAGAGCTATGGCATGGGACAGATGTGGGTGGAAATGTGTTTGGAGCTGAAAAAGAGGGGAGCTAGGGACTGGAGCAATTTCTGATTTAAAATTTGGGGGAGGATGCCTAGTTGAAAATCAGCAAACCTCATTTTTAAAAAAATTTCCTCAGAGGAAAATGTTGATTTTTCTTAAAGGAAAGAGAATATTCTCAAGAGAAGAGGATGTCCCTGGACTGATTATTTTAGCATCATTCTCTCTTGTTCCTGGACGAATCCAAGTATTCAGTGTAATTGGGAAATATTTTTGTGTTTTTAGCTGAGGTTGGAAAACAGCTTTTTTTCTCCTCTTCCTACCTCACCTCATCCTGACGCCTTACTTTGATACCCCCTTTCCCTGCATAAGAAGGCGTAGAATCAAGGGGGCAGAGAAAGAATACCCTCTAGGGGCACTAACTAGTTAATGCATAGCTTAGAGTTGAACCCACCCTAATTTACAAGCTGGGAACCGTGCATTTTTCCCAACACTGTTTTTGGATAGGAAGGTATCAAACTAGAAGACTTCCAGGGTCCTCTCAAGTGCTAACAAGCTGTTACGGAGAAGGATCGTCGACGACAGAACCCGCGCTGCAGGCATGACTGACAAGGGTCAGGAGTATGCAACCCTGGCTGGAGTTCAGTTCAGATCAAGAGAGACTTACTGAATGCATATCCGCCATGTACTGGGCAAGGGGTAGTGCATTGCAAGGTACAGAAAGAAGAGCAAAAAGTGCTCCCACTCCTTGAGCTTAGCATCTCAAAGTGAAGAAAGACTAAAACATAAAAGTTTTACCAATATGACAACACAAAATGGAACTTTTTAGTGTACTGATTATTCTAATAACTCACAGGGCAATAATCCTATGATGGAGTTATTACTATTCCAACTACCCAGGGAAGGAAATTGAGTTTACAGAAAGAAAGGTTGGAAGGAAGGAAGGAAGGAAAAGAAAGAAAGAAAGAGAGGAAAAGAAAGAAAAAGAAAGGAAAGAAAGAAAGAGAGAGAGAAAAAAGAAAGGAAAAGAAGAAAAGAAAAGAAATCTTACAGAATAGCCAGAGTAGTAAAAGAAGGAGAGCTCCTATCTGGCTGGGTGATCAAAATAAGTTTTCTAGAAATGTCTGGGAGTGAAACCATGGATCTACTTTCTGTGGCCATTTTAATAATAGGCTGCCTTCCTCTTTGTAATTAGTTTCTCTCTTAGCATTGCTGCTTTATTTTTCTGAAAATGGTAGCTGTTTGCCTGATGTCTTTTGCTTTTGTGAAGTGCGTTACCTAATTGATGCTGGCCTGTTTTCTAATGTTACCTTTTTTTTCCAGGCTGATGCTTGGTTCATTCCAGCCCTAAAAAGTTTTTTTTAGCTCTGCTCTAAACTGCCCTGCACTGTGATGTCCAAAAACTTTTAGCTCATCTATTCTGTGTGATATATCAGCCTGGTACTCTAGAGAGTTCGGGGGAATTTTTAGCATATTTATTTATCTCTTAGTACATGGAGCTGTGTTTATGCCTCGTGTTGATGCGTTGTGTACAGTTTTCAATGGGAAAAGCACGACTTTACCGACCTTTTCTGAACAAATAAATTTACTTAAGGCCGCTTGGTGTCATTTGGAAAAAAAAAATATTCTTTCTCTTCTTCCCTTGGGGCTGCCTCAGGAGTTTTGCATTTGAGAATGACCAGATTCCCAGCTTTACACTTCCCCCGTCACCCTGACCCCACACTTTAAAGGCAGATTAGAAAGGGAAGCCGAAGAAGGTGAAGGGGAGTGGAGACTCAGGAGTTGTGTGGCTGTCACTCATCCATGCTGTACTTTGCTTTGCAGGGAAGATTTACATCCAAGTTCTCATGTTCTCTCCATAGTAGTTAGCTCCTATTGCCACTCAAGGTCAAGCTCTCCCTCCCAAGGGAAGTCTTGTCTTTCTAGAAAGTGCTTGAGGCTCTCATCTTGATGAGGTTTGGTGCCCTCTGAATTCTGTGAAGAATGGGGAAGGAACAGCCAAGAAGATACCCTGTCTCCATTTTCTTTCTTGGATCTCCTTTCAGATGTGGTTTTTGAGTCCCTAGGCCTGTTGGAAAGCAGATCGGGAGTTAGATTTAACAACCAAAGTAAAACCACACATCTCTAGTGAAGTGAGGAATATACTGTTGTTTGTTTAACTTTTGATTCTTTGGTTGTGATTCATGGGATTTGTTTGTTTATTTTTTAATTGTAGGGTGATGTGCATTTCCTCCTTTGGGAATACAGAGAATGTCCTTTCAGGGGTGGAAAACCATTTTTAAAAAGGGAACTTTCTCTCTTAAAAAAAGAAAGAAAGAAAAAGTTGAACTTTCCCCCAATTGCAGAAGTCAGTTTTTCTAGCAATGCACAAAATCCCAGTGATTTACAAGTGGAGGAACCTGTTTAAGGAATGGCTAAATTAGCCAGTGGCCAAATTCTTGGGGCTTAAGAGTCTCAGGTGAAATCTGATCCTTGACTGGGAAATTTTTTTTCTGGCAGGCAGGATGGCAGCTTCACAAAATGTGGAACAGAATCCATGCGGTTAATGTTCTGAAAGGGAGGGTTCAGAAGGTTAACATGGTGGTAAGAAGCAGGCATTGTTGTGCCTACTTTCACAGAAAATACTTAAGAACAACTACCACAGAAACCCTCACTTAATAATTGGCCCAATGAGCTTTTGTGTTTTATGATGACCTCTCTCAGGAATTTCCTGTCTCCTTTGAATCCCACCTGGCCACACTCTGCTTTTATCTTGGCTTCAATTCTCAAGTTGTTTTAACTATAAAAAATACAGTATGATGTTTTTGGTACAGACACACCATTTTCCTGGTTTTAAACCTTTCTGTATGTTTTTCAAACAAACAAAGGTATAGAACTGGAAACAAAATGAGTAAAATTGGATCTACATTGGCTACAGTGGTAGATAAAAGGCTGAGAGACCCCCCCCCAATTAAGGTGAAGTACCTGCCTCGCTCATGAAATGGAACCCTAAAGCTTCAAGGAACACAGTTTGCAAACCATTGCTTCATAAGCATTTGTCACAATTTTCCTTGAGGGCCTGCCTTTCTTCTTGTTGGGAGTCACAGACTGAGAGAGCCTGCCTGCTTAAAAAGGAAGGAAGAGGTTGGAGGCTCAGGTGCCAGCCCCTCATGGTCTCAGCAACTTCTCCAGCCTTCCCCATTTACCCCGAGAAGGTGTGTCTGGCCGAAGAGGAGGATGGTGAAAGTACCTGGTCAGGGAGTAGCAATGTCTCCTTATTTATTCAGAAAAGTTGATCAGGCAGTGTAGTTTAAGGAAATACCCTGGGAAGCTCCTACAAAGCAGTTGCCATCCGTGGGGCCCGTTGGGGCACTCTGTTGCAGCAAAGGGGCCCCAGAGAGCTTTGTTGCATTCACTTCTGGGCTGTAAACACTGATCTTTCTGTCTCAGACACTATCTTAGACGCTTAAGCCTTAACACATTCCTTTTTTTTTTTTTTTTTAAGTAAGCTCTATGCCCATCATGGTCCCCGATGCGGGACTTGAACTCACAACCCTGAGATCAAGACCTGAGCTGAGATCAAGGGTCAGACACTTAACAGACTGAGCCACCCAGGCGCCCCAAGCCTTAACACATTCTTACTTCTCCCTGATACCTGCTTTCACAGTAACCTTTAGGGAGGTCATGTATGCTTTTACCTGGTGATTGTGCTTATTCCTTGAATGGTAACCTTGAAACTCATGCTTATGAAACTTCAGACTCATGACCTTGAACATCACCTTGAAACTGGGTACCCTTCCACCATTGGTAGTTGGCTCAAGCTTCCCATCCATGCATCAGCCACAGCATCCAGCTGTGTACTCCTTTACTTGGGTTCCTGACTCTGGTGCCTGGTCCATCCTCTAATTTTTGCTGCTAACAAACTGCCACAGCAAACTGAGAAAATGAATAATGTTCTAGCTCCCGAGAATATTTCCTTTGCTTATTTTAATAGTTTTAAGATATATTTTTCTCTTAACTGTTTCTTGGTCTCTGAGAAATTGCTCTGAATGGGATTAGAATATTTTTAGGAGAGATTCCTCCCCCCTGCCCCCAATTCTCCTTTCCTATGACTTCAGAGATCAGGTCTCAGCTGATGTCTGCTGTGAGACACCATTACGCATTCTGCATATACCATCTCCTCCCATGGGGGTATTTCCAAACATCACACACTTCATTGTGGGAATGTGCATTGTGGGGGTGGGTTGACTGCTGTATCTAATTGGGCTTTCCAAGTGGTTCATCTTACAACATTATTCTGAAGTCCTAAACCTAACCAAGACCCGTTCTTGGAAGTGAGTATAACAACGATGTTCCCAGAGTTGGTGAGAAGCACTCAGAGTGTTACTCTGGTTCTTTCCCCTGGTGCCCTGGCATCCATAGTATGGATCTAAAGCCGGAGTGTTTCCCTTTGGGTGTCACCACCAGATTAACCCATTTTGAATTCTTTAAGCTTCTGAAATATGTATGAATCAAGAACACAAACCTGACTGAGAATGGAATGTCATGTTTATTTTCCTTAATTTAACTTATATCTGAGAACAGTCTTTTTTCTACCAGGTGGTGGGAAACCCAGCCCCAGACATTGCTAAGGCTTTCTCTCCCTCCTTAGAGTTTGGCAGAGCTTCTAGGACTTGACCTCATGTCAAAGGCAGCTCAGCCAGTCCTTTATCTACACTGGTTATCACTGAGATGCCCCTTGTCCCAGCCCACATGGTCCCCTCGAGTTGCTGCATTTGTGCCAGTCTTGGAGCATGGGACTCTTTAACAGAGTGGGGAGCCCTGGCACCTACCATCTAGACATTTTAGATCCTAATGCTGTCACCTTTGATGGATTGCTTAT